ATGAACTTTCAAAAAGAATGAAAGAGACATGCTTTTGTCCCCACAGCAGAATAATCCCAGTGAGGTGTCTCTCATGTCTGCTGCTCTTGTTTTGAATGCTGCTGCCGTAATTTTGCCACAGAGGTTTCAGGGCTGTCACTGAAGCAATATCACATAAATCTGTTGTCTTCTGAATTGAGACAAGCCCATATTGGCCACTCAGGAAAGTGAAAGAAGGGTCATTTGTCAAGCTGAGGCAGCTGGGAAATTGGGAGACATACTTCAATTTTCAACATCTGAGTCATATTTTCTGTCCCTCGCGGGGATAATGTCAGACCAAGTTCAACTGTTTTCTACGCACTACATTTCTCATACCTTAACGGCAAGCCACCTTAAAAGACATGGGGCCAATACTATACCAAAACAAAGGGAAATGTTGATAAGGTAGCTATTATTCTGAAGAGGTAGAGATGTATGCCATCAGGTTCCTACCTCACTCTCTCTCTCTGGCTCGTTCTCTATCAGTTGCAACTTTCTTATAAACTTTTTATGCAGCATGCCAATAGGATCTGAAGCATCACTGCAGGCATGTTCAGCTTTGTCGACAGGTCACAATCAATCTTGATGAATGTGGTGAACTGTGAATGTTTACAGGCAATTTTCTATGCTGATATGTTTTTTGAGAGTTAAAAGATTAACTAAAAGTTTTCTCTCCTTGTTTATGTTTAAGGCCTGCGTTCTGGACTCAAATGCAAGAGGACATTTTTTTTATTCCATAATTGCATAATTATGGTATAATTTCATGGGATAATTATTGTGATTAAAAGCCTGATTAAAAATTGTAATGATAGATTCTGTGACTGTGGTATTATTTGAAATTATGATTTCGGGTAAAATGAAGACGCAAAGATCTGACTTTTATCAAAAACAGTGATACTTTCTCATTTATTTTGTATTCAACTTGTCAAGAAAAGGGAAGCTTTTATTGACAAGCACTGATTGCTTTTTTTCCTTTTGACGATACGAGACGATGCCGCAGATGAAAGTATTATTGTAATCAAATAAAAAATGAAAATACATTTTCAGTCGAGACTGTCATTGCCTCTGCTGCTCACAGCCTCTTAGGGAGAAATAACTTTTCATATGCCTTGGAAAATGACAGATGAATGCAACGAATGCAATAGCATCCTGAGGCAGATGCAGCTTTATAAATTGAGCAAAAGCTCTCTGATCTCTGGGATGATAGATCACGCCTTGAATTTATCATACTATTTCGTATTTTATCACAACAAGCAATTTTCTTTAAAGAAGGAGCCAGACTCCTATGAGCTTGACTGTGCATGGTGCATATGAATAGCTAAGTAATGCAGTGTTACAGATAATCAGTGGATCACTCATGGCATTATCAAGATTAACAGTCCTATCATACAAGGTGAAACCCATGGCCGAGCACATCTTCCATAAAAATCTCGATTAAGATGTTGTGCAGTTGTTGCGTATCATCCACACATGGTCATGCTCAAATCTAGTAGATTTAACTGCCTCTCTGTGCCCCATTGACTGTTGGAGAAATGAGGCATGCTCAGTGTGAAATGGTGTGTCACTGATGAGGCCACACAGGTAACCCTGTGCACTCAGCAGAAGACCCCCACATACTCAAGTAGAAGTGAACTCAGGTCATTACTCATGTTTTTGTTGTCCTTTATCATCTGACTCACTTGCATACAAGATGTCATTAACCTCCGTTGTCATAGAAACCTGTCCAAACCTGAATGCAAATTAAATAGGGAATTCTTTTTACGACACACATAATGTAACCTTGAGCCAGTTATTATGATGCTATACAGCATACAGAGTATTAAAACTGACTCTCTGTTGGCGACAGGTAAATAAATAGTTCATTGGGATGCTAAGTGGTTTTCTTTAAGTGCTCTCATTTCTGTTAACGATTGTGGTGCAGATTGGCGTGTGCAGTGGCGATCCCCAGGCACTAGATAATCATCCTGTTACACTGGAACTCACAGACATTAGACATCAGTCTTTAAAGCTTGCTTCGTTCACAAGGAGCAAACATCCTACAACATGTTCTGCCATGCTTTTTGATCAAATATACAGAATGGATTCCCTCCCTTCCTGTTAGGTTGTACATGTAAATGATGCACAAGGTAATCAGAGGAGAGGAATGCCAAGTGAATTAAAGGACAACAACAATAAGATCCTGGTCTCAAATGTATTTTCTGTGTGTCGTTTGCAAGAGAGGAAGCTGGTGAATTGAAGATGGTGTGTGACTCCCTTGTGATGGACTGGCAATCAATTTAGTGTTTCCCTGCCTTCCACCCACTGCATGCTGGGAAAGGCTCCAGCCC